TGCAATCCTCGCGTCTCCTTCTGATTCAACCCCGGTCCATTCTCTCTGGTTTCTTGCCGGTAGGTATACACCCTGCCAGCCACGCTTACGCGACGACGGAAATTTTCACGCGCACGTGTTCCGACACCCCCACCCTCTCGACCTCCACGCTCCTACGATCCCATGCCGCCACACGTTTCTTGACCTCCGTGGAGATCCCCGCGGCCAAGGAGGAACTGGAGGCTGCAGGTGGACCGGCTCAACGAGGATCTATGGGGTTTCGTGTTTGCTCATGACGCTTGGGGTTGTTGGAAGGGATTTCTGTGTCTGAAATATTTTCTTCGATAAGTCGATTCCTCGGTGTGGTATTTTTTCGATGAATTTTAGCTGTGTTTATAATGGTATTTTGCGTGTGGGTGATACTGTCGAATTTTTTTGAAATGTATATTTATAGCTTGTTTATTTAAGTGTACACCGCTTTTTAATTGAGTGATTCCGATGCACACGTGTTGAATGCTTTTGCCAACGAAAATGCAGGAAATTCTTTGTTTTTATTGAGTTACTCCAGGTCGGGTACGGCGTGTATACCTGAGCCTCTAGGTCCACTCCGAACGATAATAGGCGGATAATACTTTTCTCTCTGCAGATAATTTCACCGTTTTACTGGTTCGAAATTATTTATCTTTTAACTTACTTCGACACTTAACGTGATCATTGCCTCCGATATTTCTCTCTGTTTCTTTCTGATATTTCTTCTTTAAGTCATCACTGTGTTTGTATACCTGCAACAAATTACAGGTAAAATTTTCATGGAATTTATTTCTGGTACCTTTCACTGATTCAATAACCTACATTCTCTAGAATTAAATTAATCCGTGATTGTTTCTATGAAAATTTCTCCTCATTCATTGTGAACTAGTTCATCTGTTCTTTTCCCGAGTGACATTATCTTAACCCTACTAATCGACTCAAAGGAAAGAGGTGTAACTCCTGTTCACGCTTTCGGTAAATCCGGATAATCCTGCGATTAGCGTTCTATCAACAGTAGACCAATTTATTATCTACGCTCGGTGTAAGTCGCTGGAACTACAATATTTGGACAGGTCTTGACACGAGTCCTTCCTGGGGTGCCTTTTCTGGTACTCGACTAACGAGAACTTTCCACATTTCTACATAAAGTTATCAAACCTTGATAATACAAATATTCTCATTCTCTATCTTCTCTCATATACAGACTATTCGAAACTTAACTTCACCGTGAGAGTAAATTTAACAATTACTCCTAAGAAACTTAAACTTAATTGAACGCCACGTATTCTTCAATTTTTTGCATAGTACATATACAGGAAACATTTAATTGTACAACACACATTCTCTTTACGATTTGATTTGTACGATTGCAATTAATAATATTTGTTTGAATTATTTGATTTGCATTTTGTACATCCTAGACGATAGAACGACTGATAGTAAAAGTTTTCAAGTCGTATCGTAGGCTATGTAAACAATGACTGTCACTGAGAATAATAATTACGCATACAATTCCGTAAAACGCATTCTATCACCAATTTTGCCCATAAAAATATGAATACTCGTATCTTCTTACTAAAGCATTTCCAGGTATAAATTTATATGAACTTTTTTCATCCATTCGATTCGAGCAATCTATAATACAAATTTAGTCCCGACCTTCCTGGACAACTTATATAAAAGAATAGGAAAATCTTCCTTTAAAAAGGATACATAAAAGCAAGGGGCACGTGTAACGCATCACTTATTTTATAAATAACACCCTGTATTAACCCGGACCTCTGTAATCCCGTACTTCCCCAATAAAAATCCTCGTCGAAACATACCCTCAAAAATAATCCCCGACCATACTAAGTCGGACATTCCAATCGATTTTCCATTCAAAGAAAGCTCATTAACTCCCTTCGGACAAGCCTCACCGCGCAATAAAAATACCTTAATCACCGACGCACAATGTCCGAATAAAACATTTTAAAGCCTGTGTCTCATGGATCGAAAAGAAAAAAGTGTATTCGACGTTCGAAGCAAGTTTCACGTGGTCGGGTCTGTTTGCGTTAACGGTCACCGTAGTTTATTAAGGTATGAGGATCGACGACCGGCCCCGGGCCCAATATTTGGACAGAAATTTGTGCGGCAGCTCTGGGGGGTCCGTTGAATCGGGGAAATGTTGGGGTCGCTGCGAG